ATTCGGTCATGGGTTACTTTATTTGAATATTTACTGTTATGATATGATGTCAAAATGTATTAGCAAATAACTAATTTTTTAAAAAGGTAAAATAAATAAAGGGTAGAAAAAGAATTTAAGGGAAAGCAGAGGGGATAAAAAAAGGAAGCTTGTAAAATGGAAGGTTATTCAATGGAAGAAATGAAGCTTAGAGAGTTAGATGGCGATAGCAAGAGTTTGGCCTTCCGAAAATATATTCTAGCATGTGTACAATATTTACCCTATAAATCAGAGTCATGAACTATAAAACTACTTCTAATTTCTATTAATTTTTGTATGGATTTTTCATATAAATTTTAAAAAAGTACCTAAATATCTATGACTGAAATTGGCTGAAATTTATAGTGTAAATACTCGATACATTCTAGAATACATTTCGTTTAAATCGAATTTTAAAAATTTTTTAAATGGCCCTCGGTAAAGAATTTAAAATCAAGAGGTTCCGAATATCCCCATGGATTCCTATTCTCCATACGACAATATACTAATTAGTCGGAAAATAAATTATTAGATCATATTTGCCATGTTCAAAAGTTAAATTTATTTAAAATAGAAATAAATTATATACATAATGTTTTTAACACGTGTAAAATTTTTCCAGGGTTTTGTTATTCAAAAATCAATTTTTCTAATTAAGTCCAAGAGAGATTTAATAAATTTTTTTTTATCATTTTCTTAAAAATTATACAAAATGTTCAAAATTTAATCCAATCAAAATAGAGCCAACTTTAGATAAATTTATTTTCCAGAATTTTCTCTCCTTATGTAAATATTCATATTTTTTTCCTCATTTACGTTAACAAATTTCTTGGAAATCAAACAAAAAAATTTTTTTATCTTTCTCTATAAATAAATAAAAGTTTAAAGCAACAATAATAATTATAAAAATATATATTCGAGTCATCAAAACATTTTATTTAAAAAATAAATTTTATTAATTTTTAAAGATTAAAAAAATATAATTATAAATAAGTTAAAAGTTATTCATTATTAAACTATTAATTAATAATTTTACAATTTGGTATTAAAAAAAATTTGGCTTATTTAAAAAATGAATAAACTGCTATTTACTATTTCCTTATTGATTCTGACTCTATGCCAATTTGATGGTAAGTAAAAATATATATATATTTCTTATTAACATCATTAATTTCTAAATTCTTATATTTTAATTAATAATATTTTTCAATACCTAACAGCTTTTGAACTATGACATCTTATTTTAGCCTTTTTTTGTTTAGTATAAGGTTTTTCATTGTTATATTTGTATTTTTTTTAATTGTGTTATTTTTATGATGTTTTTAAAAAAGCAAGTTCCTTTCTTCCTTCATTCTTTCTTTCTTTCTTTCTTTCTTTCTTTCTTTCTTTCTTTCCTTTCTTTCTTTCCTTCCTTCCTTCCTTCCTTCCTTCCTTCCTTCCTTCCTTCCTTCCTTCCTTCCTTCCTTCCTTCCTTCCTTCCTTCCTTCCTTCCTTCCTTCCTTCCTTCCTTCCTTCCTTCCTTCCTTCCTTCCTTCCTTCCTTCCTTCCTTCCTTCCTTCCTTCCTTCCTTCCTTCCTTCCTTCCTTCCTTTCTTTCTTTCTTTCTTTCTTTCTTTATTTATTTACCAAAAATTTTAATGGTTAGACCATATAAAATAGAATGATTTTTTTTAAAAAAAAATTTTAAATCTTAGCCGAGCTTTAAAAAAACTTGTGAAAATATATAAATAATTATTAATAAGACGATATGTATGTACATAAAACTATGATATAACTTTTTATCGTAATTATATGGTCCGTTGTAAGAAGGCAAACTTTTCTACAACCTATGTACCAAATTGTGAGACTCTTAGATAATATTGTTTAAGGCTTAAATCTTCCTAAATATTTTTATGAGGTTTTTGTACAACACTAATCATAATTATATTTTTATATTTATATAAAATTAGTTTAATTCAATTTGGAAAAGAAACTACTAGAACTTATCTTAGATACAATAAAATATTTTAATTAAAATCTGTCTCTATCGGATTACTATAATTCTCTAGTGGCTATATGAAATTTCTTATATAATTATCAAATAATTCTTAATCTTTTATTCTTGTTATAAATTATATTAATCGTATTTTATATTTAATAAAAAAATAGGTACAACTACTCCAAGTAAATATTTAAAAAATCTAAATATTTGATAACAACTACAATATTATTATTATTATATATAAGATAAACAAGATTTATATTTTCTTTAAATATCTGAATTCATTCTCAATGGATAAATATGTTGAGGTTTAGCTAGATCGCCATCTTATATTTTTATTATATTCGAACTCATATTTAATACAGATTAAATAATTTTGTTTAGTAGGCAGTGTAGTGCTAGATCTGCTTAAATTAGTTAAGGATTACCCCCACCCCTTTTAAAATTTTTGATTAGATTAATAATTTCTCCTAATATTTTACTTTTACTTTCCATTTTTGGTCTTGCTCAATTTATTTTGCTTTTGGTTCATACTCAACTTGAAAGTCACCCAGAATTTTAAAATTTAAAACACAATCAAAAAAAATTATAATTTATTACACCAAAAAAAGTAAAAATTTTATTAAAAACCTTATTTTCGTTTTTCGATTTAATAAACCTAATACCTAAAAATAACCTAATCATTGTATAAATAAAGAATAGTATAAATATTCAAGCCAAAAGAGATTAATAAATTTTAATTTTAAAAAAGATTTAATTTTGATAAAATAATTAGCTTAAAATTGAATATTTTTTAAATTTTTTTTTAAAAAAAAACTAATCATAATCTATTCTTAATTAGTAGTGAAGTGGCATAGAGAATAAATAGAAATTTTGTTTTTAAAATTTTATAAAATACATAAATGATTCGACAACAGTAAAATAAAAATTTGAAAAATAAAATAAAATACTGATATGTGATCTATCAAGCTTATGTTGGAAAATTCATAAATTTTACAAATTTGGATATCGTAATATATTCAAAACAATATTAACTGATGTTAAAAATATGAATTTTTTTTATTATATATAAAAAATTTCAAATATATAGTAATGATATGATTAAATATATAAATTTATATCTCAAGACGAAATTAATTTATATTAAGATTTATAACTTTAACAAATATATAGATGTATATATTCTATTTTTACCGTAAACCAAATTTATAAAATTGTATAATACAGAGATATGATAAAAATAAAAAGACCTATATTTGTGTGTTGCATCAAAGCAAAGGCTCGTAAATTCATATACAATCTTATAATTTGTTTAGAACTGTAGTGTTAACAAACTTGGTTTGCTACAGACTCGTATAGAATAAAACTTGATAGACATTTTTTAAATATGTTATTTAGTGCAATAAAAGAATCGCCCTCTATTTGAAAGATAATATTTGTAATTAATTATTTATTTGAGAAACAAAGCAGCATAATAAACTCTCAATCCTCTTTGGTCATTATTGAAAGATGATTATTTTATTTATTTTAAAATATTTTATTTAGAGACCAATCCAAAGATCATGAGTAAATTAAATATTAAATAATAATTGACATTTTATTTTATCAGTCTAATTTATGTTGATAATTACTGTAAATAAGATTTAATTTATATTATTTAATATAGCGATTAAAATACCGACTTGCATAAAATAAAACTTGATAGAGATTTTTTAATATGTTATTTAATGCAATAAAAGAATCGCCCCCTATTTGAAAGATAATATTTGTAATTAATTATTTATTTGAGATACAAAGCAGCATAACTCAATCCTATATGGTCATTATTGAAAGTTAATTTTTTATTAATTTTAAAATATTTTATTTAGAGACCTATCCAAAGATCATGAGTAAATTAAATATTAAATAATAATTGACATTTTATTTTATCAGTCTAATTTATGTTGATAATTACTGTAAATAAGATTTATTTTATATATTTATTATAGCGATTAAAATACCTTATTAGTGTTATTATATTGCTCTATTTGAGCCGATTTTTAAAAAACCAACTCAATAGACCTAATTTTTTAAATGGATGCCTAAGCCACTTATGTATTGAGTTAGCCGTTTTATAAAAACCGTGTCAAAACGAGCCATTAATACTACCAAATATTATACCCTTTGATTTTAAAACAAATTTACACATAGTCTACTTTTAAAAAAACATAGCATTCAAACCTAATAGTAAGTGCTGTAAAATGGAAAAATATTCAATGCATGGTTTTAGAAATATTGAATTTGTAGGAAATAATAGAAATGGCAAATTTAATGTAACGTTAAAATTCTCAGCTCCCAAATCGTCGAACTTTAAAATAGATAGTTTCATCATTAGAGTGCGAATATTAGAGGATGGAAAAAATTTTAGCCAAGTTATTCAAGAGGGGTCTGTCCAATACAAAAATGGAACGGTTTTTACTTTATATTTTTTTTATAATATTTATATCTAAGAATCTCTCATAAAACGATAATTATTATTTTTTTTTCTCTTTCAAATAAAATAGGAAAACTACCAATTTACAATGACAAATTTGAATCAAAGCTTGGAATACTTCATAGAAATTTTCTTTCAATTCGAGAATGTTATAATTTATCAGTCTTCTTCTAAACACATATTGAAATGTAATATTATTATACATTCATTTGTCTAAATATATAATTCAAGGGAAAAAGAATAGTTTTTAGGGTACATTAGTTTGTAAAATCCCATTTAATTATAATAACTCTATGACTTATTAGGAGAAATTTAAAAAATAAAGGAAATAGATATTCTTTTAAAAATTTCAGAGATACATTTTAACAATTATATTGAATTTCAAATTATATAATTCAAAGAAAAAAATTATTATTATGTAAATTTTATTTTATTCAATTTATAGATGGAAAATCTTCAAGAGGTCTTTTAATTGGTAGGCAATTAAATTTATTCAAAAATATATTTATTTTATACTTAGTAAATCATATTTTTTTTCATATTGCTAAAGCACGATATAACTAATTGAATATTTGAATATCGATATTACATTCATTCGCTTTCTCATAAATTTAAATTACGAACAGAAAACCAGTCAAGAATGATAGGGAATCAGAATTATATCCTTAAATTAATGACGGTTAAATCTGAATACCCCTTTAAATCAGAAAAATAAATAGAAAATTTCTGATTTATCTATTATTAAATAAAGAAATAAGAAAAAAAATGATTCCCAATCATTAACATCAGAGCTCCCGTTTGTCAACTGCTTTTGCACCCAAATCGTAGATGGGAGATAAATTATAGGGAAGCAAAGAAGAGAAAAAAGGAATGAATAGAAGAGAAGAGAAATAAGAAACAAATATGAAATATGAAATATAAATTTTTTTTTATAATTTAAGTTGTCAACTTAGGGTTTTAAGACAGCATTTGAAGCCATATAAAAAGAAACAATAGTGTAATAAAATTTATAATATCAAAAATTTTGTCTGTTTTTAAGTATTTTTAAAATTATATCACCACGTGACCTCCTTTTATTTGATGATAAAGATGTTGTCTTTTCTTAGCCCAAAATATGTCGTAAATTTAAAATTTTTATAAGGTTAAAAAAATTGAAAGCATAAAATATAATATACTGTTATTAATGATGATGTTGCCTTTAATTAGTGGATGATGATTTTGTTTTTTATTTGTGTAAATGTCTCTAAAATTTTGGGTAAAAATTAAAAGCATCAAATAGAATTTCACTGATGAAGAAAGATAAAAATAAGTGTATAAGGTTTGTTGTTGAGGCTACCTAGTTTGATTTATTATTTACTGACCAAAAAAATTGAATAAATAATAATTATAAAAATCTAAAATGGTCCGTATAAGATTTACTGTTGATAAAAATTTATAAGCGGATAAGAATTGCTTTTGAGGCTACCCTTTTTAATTAATTTTAATATAAAAAAATTAAAAAAGAATACATGATATTTTCTGTTGAGGATAAGCAATAAAAACGCTCTCGATTTTCTTTGTAAAAAAATTAAAAGGAATACAAGATATATCCTTGTTACTACAATATGCCTGATTAATTCCAATATATAGATCCATCTTAAATTTGAAAATAGAAATAATAATGGTGGTTATATTCTGCTAGGATATAACCTAAAATTTTTAAAATTATATTGATAATCTGGAAATATATAGATAAAAAAGGTGCATAACTCATAAATCTTATTTAGTTGTAAATTTGATTCCACCTCATGGAGTTTTGCGCTTTTTCATAAAACGCTACAATTTTTCTGTGCCACGGCTCTTATTATTTAAAAGATATGTTTTGCACAGACTGACCTAGAATGGTCCCTTGTAAAATTTTGAAAGAATTTTTTAGTCCAGCTGGTTATCTAATTATGTATGAGTTATACCACCAGACCCTTAAAAATATTTTATTTTTTTAAAAAAATTAATAAATTTATTTAATTCGCTAAAATAAGTTCCCGAACAGTAAAATAAAATATTTTGCAATTCCCTGACCTCTGACGGTGATAACCTTATTACAATTGTAATGTAATTTTATTGAAAGTTTTATTTTAAATTAATATTTAAAAACATATGCACCTCTTTACAGATGATTTGCCTTTTAAGATAAATAGTGTGAAAATGGTTAAAGTGAACGGCAAATTGGGTATACAAATATTCTATAATGTTTTCAAGGATATTGAAGGTATTTTGTCATACATACTTTTGATCAAATATCCCCACTCAAGAAACTATTTACAAATAATGACGTTTGAGGTAAATAAACAAGATTTTTTTATTTATAAAATGTAACAAGATTTGAAACTAGATAGATTAAGAGGTATAATAAGTATAATAATAATAATAATACCCTCAAGGTTAAAGGTCTCTTTTAACATTGCGCCTCACATGGTCTATTCTTAATCATTTTTTTTTTAATTTTTAATGAGAAACAATTTCATACATCAGATTAATTTAATCTATTTAATATATATATACAGCCAATATCAGGAAAAAACAATCATACATTTATTAATGTGGAACCAAAGTTAGAATATGAAGTATCGTTAATACAAGACCCTGGGAAAAGAAATTTTTACAGAAAAGATTCGCGTTTCATAACTTCTCCTGAATATTTTTAAATTAATAAATTATGATTTTAATGTATAAATAATGGAAGTCTTTTTATAATATATTTTTCTTTGCTTTATGCCGGGATATAAATATTTTATTTCAAAAAAATTGTCATTATATTATTTACTTATGTTAAAAATTGTAATTGGATTATTTTATAATGCATTTTCCTTTGCTTTATGCTGGGATATAAATATTTTTTTATTTCAAAAAATTGTGATTATAATGTATACTTATGTTAAAAATTAAAATTGGGTTATTTTGTAATGTATTTTTCTTTGCTTTATGCTGGGATATAAATATTTTTTGATTTCAATAAATCGTAATTATTCAGAGCTAACCCTCTTGCTTTAAAGGTGCTTTAAAAACTCTTTATTAAAATTTATTATGTTATAAAATAATTTTATAATAATAATAAAAGATTCAAAATTTATATTATACTTAAGCGAATTATTATGAAATCTTATAGAAATATTTATAATTTGAGGAGACTTTCACGTCTGAAAAAGAAAATATTTTAATGTTTGAAATCTCATAATTCAAAATTTTTTAAAATGTGTCTAAGGCCCCATATCTATTCTTAAACCAAATTTATTTATTAGAAACATTAATTTATTTATTTATATTAAGATATTATATTATTTAATTATATTTAAGAATTCGGCGTACTTTTTAAATAGATTTATTAACAAATTCAATTTTTATAATATATGACTTGGATTGTAAGTTAACCTCGTACTATTTATTAAAAAAAATATCTTTTTATTTCTCAGTATTCAAATTATATATATTTTTTTAAGATTGTGAGAATCATAGAATTATTATTATCATAAGAAGTTATAATAATATATCTACTAATACCATTTAATATAATGAGATATGGAGTAAATATGGCGAGACTCTTAACACTCTGGTTCTCCACTTTATTCTAGTGAAGATTATTTGCTAATAATTAATATAATTCTATTTGGGGTGAAAATAATTTTATTGGAAACAGCAACAAGATATTATGGGAATAACAAACTAAAAGATGAATTGGCTTTAGTCTACGCTATTTAAGAGACAAAGAGATAAAATTCTATGTTTATAAAAAGTTGAATATGGGACCTATGACTAGACCTGTGCGCCGATGTCTCAATCAACGGGGGCGGTTTTTTAAAATTTTTTATCGGCGTTCGGCGGTGCGCCTATTTTGCCGCCGTCTAATAAATTTTTGGCGGCGGCGGCAAAATATTTATTTAAAAATTTTTTTTAATGAATTTAATTTATAAATTAATGTATTACATTTTTTTATAATTTATGTAGGCGATCTTTTCTAACACATTGCTAACATAGTTTAATTGATCTTAAATTATTTCCCGTCTCACTCCAATTTAAATTTATGTATTTTCTCATTTCTCAGAAATAGACTAAGGAATTGTATTTTTATTTTTACTCAATCAGAGTCATATCAACAACACATATAAGAAATAATCTATTGATTTTTATTATAATTAAAATAAATTTGGAATGCAGGCAAAATATGAAGTATGAAATATAATAAGTTAGAATTCAGATTTAGCAAAATTATAATTGTCATGAATAAACAGTATTTTATCAAGATTTGTAGGACATAACCTTTTAGCATTGAGTATTAATCCAGCAATGGAAAAAATTCTTTTGCTGAGTGTACTGGTTGCAGGTATGCAAAGAACCTTCCTAGCTAAATTAGCATGCATAAGAATTTCCAGTCGCTTTTTCTTCCAAGAGCAATGCATCCTCTTCTGAAATAATATTTTATCTGAGCAAAATATGGCATTCTTGTTTAAGATTAGTAATATTGTTATAATCGTTAAAAGGGAATGTTTTCGAGCTAATTTCGCTATATAAGAGCATGATGTACCATCCTAGACTTGAATTTCACGCTGAGCATTTCTATTATGCTTTAAAAGTTTTAAATATCGTATTAGAAATTGCAATGATTTCGTAGAATTTGAATTTAAATATTGTGAAACAATATTGGGATTTTGAAATCCTAATCAAGTAGAGTTGCTAATATCTAATGTTTGAATATAATTTTATTAATAAAATATAAAATAACTTGAAGTTCAGTGATCGGAAACCTATGATCAAGCTTTTTTTTATATTTTCTTTTAAGCATATTATATCTGAGCAATCAGATTTATTGTGTATATGAGCTTCTATTTCACTGCTAAATGATAACCCTGAGTTTATTGTAGATCCTTTTTGGGAGGAAAGAAATTCCACTGACTTTTGGAATGGATTTACTTAAAGCTCATCTATCATATCCTATTCATTATTAAAGAGTTTTAAAGATTGTTTTCCTATTTTATTTAGAACATTATTTATAGGAATTTTGTTTACAATGCGAATACTTCCTAGCATAATTAATATGCTATGCTAGCGGGTAGGGCAATTTATTTTTAAAGTTTTTGCATTAATTGGATTGGTTGGTGCAATGTCATTTCTATTATCCGATTCATCAGACATATTAAAATGGTAAGATATTGATCAGAATCATCAATATTCAAGATATTACCTGTCTCATAAATTGTCTGCAGATATTTACCATGTTCAGCCTCAATTTCACATTCCAAATCAGCTACTCAATATCTGAGGGCCGAAATAATTTCTCTAATTATTTTAATGAGAATATCAATCTTGAACTTTTTTATGCCAACAACTGTAACCAAATAATGAAGTCCATGCCCTAAGTATAAATAATGCTCATAATCCTCTAATCTGACGCTTCTTTTGACATTGGCCCCAGCATCAGTTACCATTTGTATTATTTTGGCTTTTAAATGGAACTCCTCTTCAATACTATCAATCTCAGATAATATTGTTTCCCCAGTATGCTTTTGAGTCACATTTCTAATTGAGGGTAAAATATTTTAAATCAAAATTTTCATCTAAATGATGAAGACTAAATGTGATATAATTTCGACGCTTGAAATGATCGGTCCACAAATCAAAAGTGATAGAACAAAATTTTGGTTCAGAGTCAATCAAATTTATAACATTTGCCTTCATAGATAAATAAACATCGTCTAGTGCATCCCGACAAATGGTTGTCCTATTTGGCAATTCTGACGAGGAATCAATTATCTTATATTTCTAATTTTTGAACAATTTATTTTTTAATAATCATTTTATATAATTTTAAACCTTTAGAAAGTCTGTCATTTCTTAATTGTTTATAGAATCAAATGGCATTAAATCTAAGCAGACATCAAAACATAATTTCGCCTTATTAGATTTCATAGTTATTATAAACATTAGAAAAATATATAAAAACATTAAAATAGTTAGGGCTAGCATGAAACAAATTATAAATTAAATATAGTTTTAACTTTCAAATTAAAGCTTTACATAATTAATTTAATAAATTGTATATTAAGTTTATATTTAAGATATTTAAAAACAAAATAATTAGAGCTGGAATGAAACAAATTATAAATTTGATTTAGTTTAACCTTTCTAATAAAGTTTTATTATATATTAAATAATACTTTAAAACGATATTTAAAAAACACAAAATAATAAGGGGTGGGATGAAACAAATTATAAATTAGATTTAATGTTAATATTCAAATTAAAATAATAATAATTTAATATATAAATATAATTAATATGCTTTCTAAAAATCACACACGCCACGCCGCCGCCATAATAAAAATCGGCGGCTTTTCCGGAGTGAATAAAAATACCGGCGGCTAACAGGTCTACATGTGACATGCAAAAATAAATTTTTCATATAAAAAAGATGAAGCCATTTCAGTCTAATTTTTTGGAATTCATATAAGGTAAAATTAAAAAATCTCAATATTTGTTAATAAATTTAAAATGAAAAAATGAATGTTATAATAAGAATAAAGAATATTATAAAAACGATAACCTATCAAAATAATTATAAAAAAATATATTTATATTGATTAATATAAAATTTTACATATAAACGAATTTCATTATAATAAAAAGATCATAACGTGTAGAAATTATTCTTAGAAATGAGGATTATCAAGAATATCATCAAGAACGATCGATATGTTATATAGATCTTATAGATTTTATTATTGTCATATTATTATTTAAAATTATTTAAATCTTAAAATTATATTGTTTAATATTTATCAAATTTATAAATAGTCACCTGATTTTATATATCACGTGTAGAACTATAGTGATTTCTTGGTCTCAAAAAAGTATAAAAGGGATTAGATTTTATAATTATAAATTTTTTGACTTTTTGTTTTTTTTAGATATGTATATTGTTAACATGTATTTTTGTTTTAACATATTTTTATTGTATAAGGTTAAAGGAGATTGTAATAATACATTAAATGTTGTTAATTAGATAACGTGATTGGAAACAATTGATTTACGTTATATATATAAAAAGAGATTATTTTTATAAGTAAAGGAATTATTTTTTATGTAAATATAATAACAGATATTTATATACAATTTTGTAATTTTAAATTAATATTTTGGCAAAATGGATACCACTAAGTTTTAATACTTTTAGATATATTTAAATTAGAAACTATCACTTAAAATTATTAATATAGTTTAAATTATACATAGAGGGTGTTTTGCCTTTAGCAATCAATTTTATTTTTTATTAATTGTATTATTAGATAGCCTAATCATTAGTTTAAGAGTAGTCAGTTACTTTTGGTGTCTTTAGGAATTATTCTAGATAGGCCATAATCCCTGAAATATTTTTATTAGGTAGCTAAGATATATGTATTATAGGCATAAACATTCTTTTTTATCATTTTATGTTGACTGCGGAGCTACAACTACTAAATAAATTTGTAAAAGATAGTGTGTATAGAAACCGTGGTTTAATAAAAAAAATGAGCGTTTGAACATTTTATTAACCCAAAATTTTGAGCAAAAATGGTTCTAGATAGACAATATTGAATATGATCCTTTTTAAAAATATAACTTCATCAAAGATTATAAAATAACAAAAGATTTACTTACTTATAAAAGACTTTAT